GACCATTTGCCCCAATTACCACGTTTACCAATTATATATTAACAAAGATCTTCTTATTACTTCCAACTATAAGTTGAAGTTGGAAGAACATCAACAAATACTTGAACATAATAGAACTAAAATCTGAAGTACATTACAAGTCGCGTGTTGATGCACTCCTTAAGACAATATTTGCCACCACTAGTGGTGAAGCACGGTGGAAAGCAAAACGTAGAATGAAATCTATATTTGTTGTTTGTACCGTCTGCTTGCGAAAAAAATCTCGAACACTAAGAAGAGAAGAAGTCAGTATTAGAGAAGTTAGTATTTTGTACTTCTAGATTAACAAAATGAACGAAGCTTTTAAAGAAATGAATATCCAACAATGCAGAGATTTCAAAAAAATTTATCATCGTGAATAAAATGAACATTTAATTTATATATATAGTCAATATAGATATGTTCTTGACTTTATCCACAACCTTTCAAACACAAGTTACATATTGAATTAGGATACAAAAGGGTGGTTGAAACCACAAACATGCATGCTTGTCGCAAAAGGCCATAACAAGTATTGCTGCGGCAGCATGCCTTAGTAGTCGGCAGAAGCCGACCGCAAGCAGACTGCACCATTGCGGCCTTGACTAGTCGGCCACTTCGTTTCTAAGCTCCTTCGATCCGTCCCTTTAAATCATTGTCCAATTCATCATCCATGTTTTGAACAGACGTTACGATATATCCCACAATGTCCAAAATGACATTTTCAGAAAATTTCTCCAACAAAAAATTCTTTTTTAAACATTCTACATCGTGAAAAAAAAGAAAATAAAATATATTCCTATTTCAATATTAACTGTCTCCCACTAGTTGAATAAAGTTGAAAAGAAACCTGGGCCAAAATGGAGAACGCGTCTCATGGCCATGGTTAGAGGCTGTAGATTGGGATTGGCTCGTAAAAGGAACACATTAAACTCCCGTTTGGCTCTCATTAAAATTATAATTCATCGCTATCCAATAAAATTATAATTTTTAATAATGGGAGCCAAACGGGGCAAAGGCTAAAGTCCACAGCTCATTACCAACTTTTATTACACAAGGGAAAGAAAAAGCTCTTCGTGGGGACCGAAAATGAGATATTTTGTCAAATTTTGCGACAGCTCATCGTTGTTCTTCTCTTTTATCTTAGTAGTGCCATGTGCTAGGGTTTGGTATGTGAACCACAATTTGACATCTTTTAATTTATTTTTTATACTTAATTTTAATCACACATTCACACAATTGAATATTCTACACGTAAATTCAATTTTTTTTTTCTATTTTTTAACTACACATTGTAAAAAAATACTATTCGAAACATAGTTTTTGATCATTAAAGACCACTTAGACATGACCTTGTTCAACCTTTCAAACTTTCTTTATATATTTTTACAACTTCAAAATCTTTAACGCGTCAAGCACTTTTTTTTTTTAACCTTTGAAGTTTGAGTTTAGGGCTGGTCACCTTTTATTTTTCGAACTTGTTCGAGAGATACAAGAAGGTAGTGTTAGGAAGTATCAACGGAGTTAAGAGGGTGTTTGGTAGAGATTAAAATCGGATTAAAATTGAAAAACTAGCCGTTATTGTTGACTTTTATTAGATGAGTGGGACCCAATAACAGCTATATTTTCAATTTTAATTGGATTTTGAGCCGTACCAAACATGCCCTAAAGCTAGTTTATGCTCACACCTTTTGTTGTGATACTTTGGTTATTGTAAAATGTAGTAATAATGTAGCTAAGTAAACACGTAGCACAATCAAATAATTGCTACAAAATGTTGGTTTTAACATTTCTTATAGCCCTGTTTGATACCCTTTTAAATTTTTTATTTTTTACATACTCATTTTAAACCACATATTTCAATAATAAAATATTTTACACGTAAATTTAAAAAAAAATTAGAACTTTTTAATCACATAATTTAAAAAAAAATTATTATTTAAAACTCTATTTTCTCTTTAATAACAAGTAAGACAATCATAATAAGTAGAGTAAAATAATAGGTAAATGAAGACTAGCAAAAATTTTGAGTAGGTAGGTGCAAGTGGGGGTGTGATGAGATATCTAAAAGACTTTGCGCGAACGCAGCTGTGATGAGTCACATCCTCCTTTATAACTCCCACTCCACTCCGCAGATTCACATTTCGCTCCGCCATTTGCTCATTATTATGTTGATTCATTTTTTATTCCTTTCCTCGTTATTTCTAGTGAATGATGCTAAATCTACAGTCCAGACTCTTCATGTACAACCTCAGTATAAGCTGCCACCCAAATCACTCTCTGCTTCCGACAAGTTCGAGGGTTCATCGGACCTTGTTAATCTACGATACCACATGGGTCCGGTGTTGTCATCTCCGATCAACATATACCTTATATGGTATGGGAAGTGGGCCGCATCTCAGAAGATGTTAATCAAGGACTTTTTACTCTCTATCTCCAACTTCAACCCATCTTCTCCTTCGGTGGCAGAGTGGTGGCGCACTGTATCCCTCTATACAGATCAGACGGGAGCCAACATTTCACGCTCTGTACTCCTTGCTGGTGAGTACTCTGACCATCTCTACTCCCATGGTACACAACTCACCCGTCTTTCAATCCAGGAAGTCATCGCCACCGCAGTCCGATCAAAGCCCTTCCCCGTCGACCACAAGAACGGCATCTACCTAATCTTAACCTCGGTTGACGTGACAATGCAAGATTTCTGCCGGGCAGTATGTGGGTTCCATTACTTCACCTTCCCATCAATGGTGGGTTACACATTGCCATATGCTTGGGTCGGAAACTCCGGCAAACAGTGCCCTGAAGTGTGTGCCTACCCATTTGCAGTACCAGGTTACATGGGAGGTGGTGGTCCTGGGGCGCTGAACCCACCCAATGGCGACATCGGAGTTGATGGGATGATAAGCGTGATAGGTCACGAGCTGGCTGAATTGTCGTCTAATCCACTGGTGAATGCTTGGTACGCCGGCGAAGACCCGATGGCACCGACGGAAATAGGGGATCTGTGCGAAGGGCTTTACGGGACAGGCGGTGGCGGAGGGTTCATTGGGCAGGTGACGAGGGATAAACAAGGACGGACTTACAATTTGAATGGGATAAGTGGTAGAAAGTTTTTGGTGCAGTGGATATGGGATCCAGTTCTCAAGGCCTGTGCCGGTCCCAATGCTTTAGACTAGATTGGCTAGTAGGGGAGATATATTATATTATATATACAAAATTTTCAGTGAGCGAGTGGCGGCGACGAGATGGTGGTGGCGGAGGAGCAAGAGGGGAAGAAGACAAAATTCAGTTCCGTCTAATTTTTTGTTTACAATAATATTTTGTACACTTGCACTCTTGTTGTTTCATTCTCGTTATTTTCAAAATATATTTATCTTTTTTTTTAATCAAACATTCTTCATTCTTCAATAAAATAATATAATATATAAATCCAAACTTTTCCTTAATTTTTAACTGCAGATTATCCATCAATCTTCTATTTCAAAATACATTTTTCTCAAAAAAAATTGAGATTAAAAGAGGCTCAATTGAGAGGTTGGTTAAAATAATATTCAACAATTAAATATTAATGGCAAATGTTGTGTCAGTGGTCCCACTTTGAGTGATGGGCTTTGAAAGGGCGATGAAAAAGTTAAATGCTACTTAGTGCATTTTCAATTGTAGTGTAAAATAGAAATTTAGATTTCTAAAGTAATCGAAAACATATGTAATGGAGGGATGCAAAGGAGATTAAAATTATATTTTCTAACAAAATTTATTAAAAGTCACCCGCTCGATCCTAAAATCACATAGGGGGTAAATATGATAATAATGCGGAATTAAAAATTATCATTGATTAATATTGCAACAAGTCACATGCTTCAACTTTACTCGAGGCAGCATGATTCAGTGTAAACTTTTGGCTTTTGTGGATTGATGAAAGATGGTTTTATTTGTTCTTGACAGGAACCTTCTTGTATAGAACCGATTCTTATGGATTGTAACTTTCTGCAGGCTTAAGCTTCCTTGATTTCTTATTAGCCTGAATGTCTTATATAAGAATCTTTACATATTTACACTGTTGATATACCTATATCTTATGTGCAAACACGCTGCGCACATATAAGAGTGGCTGCACTCAAACGACAATGAAGATGAACTCGTAGAATGCTGTGCACGCTTGCCTTCATGGCCGTGAGGCACGGTTCACTTGACTGCTCCTTGGCCTTCGTGTGACTGCAAGACAGATGGATCCACGTCGAGCACTCACAGTTGAAATTAATGAGAAAAGAAGAGCTAAGTTAATGGAGTAGAAAACCTTCACTGGAGCTTGTATATATATTTTCACAAGTAAACACTGAGCAATGGTTACATTATATATACAGGGTTTTGAGTGTTGAGCAAGCTGGCCAAAAAACAGAATACATGTGCAAGGCAAACCGTAAAGGAATAATTATGGTTACAAGAGGTTTTCATCAGCTACAGGTGCACATTAGCANGGGGCACATTTGCAGCTGCCAGGATCAAAAAGGTAGTGGCACGTAGCTGAGGTGCATGCTGGTATATATGCACTTTTAACACCCCCCTTCAAGCTGGAGTTCATTCTTTAACTCCCAGCTTGTTCTTTAGGAATAAAAACCTGGAATGTGAGAGTGGCTTGGTTAGAAGATCAGCAACTTGATCAGATGAGGGAATATATTGGATGCACAATTTTCCTTCAAGAACCTTATCCCTGACAAAGTGTATATCCAACTCGATATGTTTAGTTCGAGCGTGATAAACTGGGTTTGAGGCAAGTGCACTGGCACCAAGATTGTCACACCACAGCACAGGGGATGAATCAGTATATAAATTGATTTCTTTTAATAATGATTCAACCCAGGTTATTTCAGCTGCTGCATGTGCTAGAGCTCTATATTCGGACTCAGTGCTGGATCTAGCAACAACATGTTGTTTCTTCGAAGACCAGGCAATCAGTGTGTCTCCCAGGTAGATGCAATAGCCAGCAGTAGACCTTCTGTCATCAGGGCATGATGCCCAGTCTGCATCAGCAAAACCGGTGAGGAGTAATCTGTCAGCTCTTTGGATCCATAACCCCTGTTCGATAGTTCCCTTTAGGTATCTAAAAATTCTCTTTACTGCCTTCCAGTGAGCATCTGAAGGAGATTGTAAGAATTGACTCATTTTATTAACTGCAAAGGTTATATCAGGCCGAGTGTGGGCCAGATATTGCAAACCTCCTATGGCACTTCTATATAATGAGGGATCTGTCATTGGTACTCCTTCCTGCTTTGAGATAATTTTCCCTGAAGTCATAGGTGTTGTAGATGGTTTGACATGTTCAAGGTTATACCTTTTCAGTAGATCCCTTGTGTATTTGACTTGAGTCAGGTGCATTCCTGATACTTCTCTCCTAACTTCGATTCCTAAAAACTTGTGTAACTCTCCCATGTCTTTTAAGGCAAACTCAGCATTTAGTTTGTCAATAAACTTCTGCAGAACTTGATGATCATTGCCTGTAATTACTATGTCATCAACGTATACCAAGGCGAAAACAACACACTTCTGATCCATGTAGAAAAATAGTGAGCAATCTGCTTTTGATTTCAAGAACTTCCAGCTCAGAAGTGTTTTCTTTAACTTGTCGTACCAGGCTCTAGGAGCTTGCTTAAGTCCGTAGAGTGCCTTTTTTAATTTGCAGATAAAAGCTGGTTTGTCTTTGTTGATAAAACCTTCAGGCTGCCTCATATACACTTCCTCTTCAAGCTTTCCATTTAGGAAAGCGTTGTTGACATCAACCTGTCTGATGTTCCAGTTTCTTGAGATTGCAAGTGTAAGGATAACTCTCAAAGTTGAGGCTTTGATAACTGGGCTGAATGTCTCATAATAATCAACTCCTGAAGTTTGCAAGAACCCTTTAGCAACCAGCCTTGCTTTGTGTTTTAGAATTCTTCCTTCCATATCACACTTAACTCTGAAAACCCATTTATTCCCTATTACCTTTCGGTTTGCCATAGGTGGTACAAGTTCCCAGGTTTCATTCTTGATCAGTGCTTTGTATTCATCCTCCATAGCTTCTCTCCAACTTCTGATTGATAGAGCTTCAGTAACGCTATTAGGTTCAAACTTATCCTGTTCAATTTTGTACTCTTTGCACTGAGTAGAGTATACTTTAGGTTTGAAGATACCAGCCTTGCTTCTAGTGATCATGGGGTGTTCTATTTCCTGGTTTCCCTGTTCTGACTCTCTCAGTGACATTTCATCAACCACTTCAATTTGATCTGACTGAGTATTTAAGATACCTTCTGGAGTTTCAACACAGCCTACTTCAGTGTTGGCTCCTACATTTTCGATTTCCTCAGACACCACAATTTCATCAGATGCTGATTGATCAGAACTATGAGGTGCCATTGTAGGAGATGCATCAGAGTGAACTTCATCAGTTGAGCAGGAAGAGTCATGGTTTGAGCAAGTATGTAGGGGAAGATAGTTAATGACTGTTTCAGAATTAGCTGGATTGTTTCTTCTATTGAGAAATCCAGATTGAAAAGGGAATTCATCTTCATTGAATATTACATGTCTGGATATATATATCCTTCCTGTTTGGCTAAGACATTTGTACCCTTTGTGTGAGTTACTAAAGCCAAGAAAAACACATTTTGTAGAGTGAAAGCTGAATTTGTGAGATTGGTAAGGTCTGAGGCATGGAAAGCAGGCACAACCAAAAGTTTTTAAGAACTTGTAGTCAACCTGTTCATTATTTAGGACTTGAAATGGTGCTCTCATTTTCAGAACTGGTGTAGGCAACCTATTGATCAGAAATGCAGCAGTGTGAAAGGCTTCCCACCAGTAGTGTAAAGGCATTTTAGCTTGAGCAAGGAGAGTCAAACCGGTTTCTGTTAAGTGTCTGTGTTTCCTTTCAGCTCTCCCATTTTGAGCTGATGTATGAGGGCAGGATAGTCGCATATCTATCCCAGATTTGAGTGCAAACTCAGTAAAGGGTCTGAATTCTCCTCCCCAATCAGATTGGAGAGTTTTGATTTTTCTACCAAACTTGTTTTCAGTTAGATTTTTGAATTGAATGAATAAGTTTAAGGCATCAGACTTATTTCTCATGGGGTAAATCCACGTATATCTACTGAAGTCGTCAATGAAAATAATGTAAAACTTGAAACCTGATGTTGAGTTTATGGGTGCAGGGCCCCAGACATCTGAATGGATCAAGTCAAGAGGAGCAACAGCGTGTGAAGAGGATAGTTTGAAGGGTAAGGAGTGTGATTTTCCAAGTTGGCAGGCGTCACAGAAATGAGTAATATCATTAAAACTGAGTTTGTCATTACAATGTTTGAGGACTTGTAACATCACAGATGTGGTGGGGTGTCCTAGTCTCATGTGCCATTGTTTAAATCTTGACTCACTATCAGTTACATTTTTAGGAGATTTGACATTGGCAGTAAACACTGAAGAAGCCAACTTATTGGAATTAACTGACTCTTGGCAGATAGATGTTTTGGCTTGATTTTGATGCTCAACTTGATAAAGTCCATCCTTAAGCTTCCCTTCCAGCAGCACCTCCTTGGTTTGTTTGTCCTTCACAACACAGAATTTAGGATGAAACTCCATGAACACATTGTTATCAGACGTTAGCTGAGAGACGCTAATAAGATTTTTCTTAATTGAAGGCACTAGCAGTACATTACTGAGTGTTAGTGATTTATTACTCAGTGTGTTCAAGTAATTTGTGCCAATGTGTGAGATGTGCAGTTTATTACCATCACCAACTAAGAGTTTCTCATTACCACCATATTCAGTTGACTCTGATAGGTTGTTTTTCTCTGCAGTCACATGGTTACTAGCTCCTGTATCTGCATACCAGGCTGGATCTGCAACTGTGTTTGAAGAAGCAACAAGGGCTGCTGGTTTTGAAAAATTGCTTTGTTGATTCTGATCCAGTCTGGTTCCCATATACCTTTCATCATAACGATTGAAGCACTTGTCTGCTGAGTGATTGTTCAAGCCACAAATCTGGCAGGGTCCTTTGTTATCAGTCCTGATGAACCTACCCCTGCTTCTTCCTCTGTTGTTGTAGTTTCTTCCACCAAAGTTATACCTGCCTCCTCTATTTATGTTAGGCCTGTGCACAAAGTTCGCAGAGGCTTGACTCAAGTTTACTGAAGTCAGGCCATTTCTGATAGTGTTAAGATGTTCAATTCGACTCTCGAAAGTCATTAGTACTGACTGTAACTCATGCCAAGTGATGGACTCTCTGCTGTTAATTTGCACAACTATAGGTGTGTACTCTTCGTCAAGTCCAGCCAGCACTTGTGTAACAAGGTCGCAATGAGAAATGCTTTTTCCAGCAATTTCAAGATTATCCGCCAACTGTTTGATGGTGTTCAAGTATTGATCAATACTCATTGCTCCTTTCCTAGTCCTTTGAATTTCACTCATGAGGAAGATGACTCTTGACTTATTCATCACCCCAAAACTCTCCTGAACAGCATTCCAGAGAGAGCAAGAGGTAGAAGATCCCATGACTCTCATAGCAATTTCAGCTGTCATCGAAGAGTAGAGCCAACCCATCAAGAGCTGGTCTGTAGACATCCACCTTGAGAACTCAGTGTTGGGTATCATTTCAACTGTAACTCCAGTATCACTGGTGTTCTGTGTTGCTAGAAATTCAGCAGGGCACTCCTTTGCTCCTGTAATGAATCCTTCCAGGTTGTGGCCCTTGATGATGGGCATAACCATGTTCTTCCACAATAAGAAGTTATTTCTATCGAGCTTCACCGGAGGCACTTGAGTGAGGCTGATTCCAAACACTGGTGATTGGTTTCCTCCCAACAATGAAGGCATCACTGTGTTTGATTCAGGTTGGGTATTGATGTTTGATCCGGTATTAGCCATAGACGGCTCTGATACCAAGTTGAAATTAATGAGAAAAGAAGAGCTAAGTTAATGGAGAAGAAAACCTTCACTGGAGCTTGTATATATTTTTGCACAGATAAACACTGAGCAATGGTTACATTATATACAGAGTTTTGAGTGTTGAGCAAGCTGGCCAAAAACAGAATACATGTGCAAGGCAAACCGTAAAGGAATAATTATAGTTACAAGAGGTTTTCATCAGCTACAGGTGCACATTAGCACCTGCCAGTATCAAAAAGGTAGTGGCACGTAGCTGAGGTTCAAGTTGGTATATATGCACTTTTAACATTAACAATAAGCAATCGATCTAAAATCATCTTTAGATCATCTTCAAATGGTTGAGAATCAATTCGAGAAATTGGAAACAAAATCCTAATTACCAATTCCAATTTTTGTGCTTAATCAACATTGTTGAACATGTCGCATCTCTTCCTCACCTCTCCTTTATGTCCAGTCTTCACTCCCAACACGCTAAGCTTTTCCATTGCCCTGGAGAAATCTCTGAAGAACAAGTTGTTATCCAAGGCATATTGATTCACGATTGCTACAGTTCTTGGATCCTTCATTAATGCACTGTCTGAAGCTAGAATTCCCAAGCCCTTCTGTAAATTCTTCAAGAAATTGTTGTCGAAACGCCCAGGAGTGACTATGTCGAGGAAGACGGCTATGTTGGGATCGGTGGAGTAATTTGCGCAATGGCGTTTAAGGGCCTCGGCGAACTTGGGATTCAGGGTGGGATCAGGATTTTTGCCGAAAAGCCTGCTGCTGAATTCACTGCAGTGAGCGAACCCAATGGTGTGGCCGCCAGCGGTTAATGCCACCATTTCTTGGACGGTGAAGCCCATGGATTGGAAAATTGCAATCATTTGGTTTAAGGAATTGTTAGCCCTGGAAATGTGGCCTTCAACGTGTGAAGCCTGTGAAACAAACCCATCTTTACGTCCCAATCGGACTTTGTAGTGTGGTCCGCCCGTCATGATGATGAGGTCGCGTGTGGCCATGGCCAGAATGTCGGAGCAGGAGACAATGCCGGGGCACTCGAGCTCCACGGCGGTCTTGATCCTGGAAACGACATCGTATGCATCGCCAGCAAGAGAATGGTTGATGTCGTTATCCCTCTCAGACTTGTTGGTGGCTGATGACCTTATAAGAACAGATGCATCACAGCCATCTACAGCACAGTCGTGGAAGAAGAGGCGGAGGGTGGCGGCTGCGGTTGTCGGAGCCTGTGTTTGCTTGGAATACACTATCTCCTGCACAATGCTATCAAATCTTGGGCATGTTTTAGCATAATAATCCAAAGAAAGCTTGGAATGTGAAAGAGGAATTGAAGACAGAGATGTGATCAACAGGAAGAACAACAACGGAAACGCCATGGCTTTTTGAGGAGAGAGAATGAACAGATCAGAAAAGACCTGCTATCTCTCGAATGCAGAGGAAGGGAAGAGGAAGATCAAAACCAACTAAGGAGTATTGCTAGAAAAAGGGCAGAAAATGATAGAGAAATTAGTCAATTGAACGAATTTGTTGTGGTGAAGAGATTTCTTTGGGGAACCAATGCTTTATTGCTAATAACCATGCAAAGATGGTAAAGTTTTAGAGTAGAGCATTAAACCCGGTACACCGGTTGACTTTTAGAATGTCCAAAATTTTTATCTTGGCGATTAATCCCATGTTTGGCCCTATTTCTAAAATCATTTTTCTTAAAATTCATTTTTAACGATACATTCTTCTGATTAAACAATTTTATATGTAAATATGCCCATGTTTGGCCCCCATTTTTGGGGGTTGAAAATTTTTAGAACAGTGATTGATGGGAAAATGTGTAATTGAAAAGTTTTAGATTTGTGTGTAATATTATTTTATTTAATAAATGTGTGGTTGAAATGAAGAGAGAAAAAAATTAATGTAATGGCACGAGAAAAAATGGGGCTCAAACGGGGGCGATATGTGTCACTTACTTTCATAAATACCCGACTATATTTCTATGATGGATGCAAACATATACGAGTGTATGAATTTTTATAAACACTTAAAAATTCACACAACGCATAGCGGTATATTTTTATCCCCTATCGGACCCTATGATGATTTATAACCCATCAAACTTATTTCCCTTCTTTCGAATGCACGAAACATGTCACCACACTCACACAATTAACTTACACAATAATCGTGGAGAAAATAAATTCATGTAAACCATTCAAATAGTCAAAACATGTTTTTATTGTCAAGAATATAAAACTAAGAAATAAAAATCATATTACATAATTCATCATTCCCTAGTACAGAATTACCCTAGCCTAGCATGATGGAAAGAAAAAAAATCAGAAAAACAATGAAGAAACGACATCACCAATTGAATTCTTGACTTTAATCTTCGTCTTGTGGTGTTGTTCTTCACGTTATTGCTCTTTTTCTCCTCTCTAAACCCTTATGCACATCCTCTTTCATTCTAGACGGCCCTAGGGTTTAAATACACATCCAAAGATTTGTTTCCATAAGTATTTCACTCGAATAAAGAAACTAGAATTTCTGTGTCAGAAACTAACTATGTGACCGCATAGCATTGGTAATTTCCAAATTCTTGCGTTTTGATCCTCAAACTCCATTTCTCCATTCTGGACGACCTATTTTCCCACTTATTCTTCTTCCAATGTTTCATTCCAATGCTCAATTTGTCCTCGACATCTTCAATTCCTCTTTCGGGTTGTCTATTGATCTCTGAACGTTGATTTTCTTTTATTTTAGTCATTTTCCACTTGTTTCTTCTAAATTCCACCACATTCATCAATGTTGTTCTGTAAAAATTAAATTATATAGAATTAAGCTATATTTCAATATATTAATCAATAATTGTTCATATTTCGTAGTTCAAAATAAGTATGTAAAACGCACTTATCAACTCCTCCAAATTTGAACTATTGTTTGTCCTCAAACAAAATTGTAACTTAACTCCACATAAAACATAGTTTGATAACCTACCGTGTCTCAGAATTGGAATTTAGTAATTAACAAAACGAACAACTTCAACAGTGCAAAATCAAATCAATCTTCACATATTACATGCATACATGACGCGCGCGTGCGTGCGTGTGAAAACTCATGTCAACATATTAAGATCATGCTTAGCTGAACACTTGACCTATAGTAGTCAAATTTTTCCTTACTTCGCTCGAGAGATACACACCCCCAACTTATGCTTTTCACTCAATTTTTTCGGGGTATATCCTAAGTTGAATTTATTCAATTTTATTTCTTATCCTTTCTTAGTTAGGATAGATCTTACTATTACAAGTTCACACCTCAACCAGTCAAAATTCTCCTATATTTTTTATTGTTTCAACCTTTAAGACTAAACTATGTTACTTGTATTTCGTCAAATGTAAAGTTCTATCAACCATATGTATTGAGGCTTAATCAATGTAATTATGTATTTTTTTTTATTCAAACATCTTTTCATTTACTTTCTATATAACCCATGTAAAGTGCTTTAGGCAGATAACTCTCAAGTCAGATGACCATAGGGCACCAGGTTTTAAATCACCCTCATAGGCTTAATCANACACTTACAGACTTAATTACCCGAGTTATACAGGTTAGAAAATATGCTTTTATTTACTCAAAAATTAGTGCAATGCCCCTCTATTTTAGACACTCAGATCCAAAAACTAACATCTAACTTAAAACTTTCACATTATCTTTGTCTCATTGGTTTTAGACAATCCACACAAGATAATTTTCATGTACCCCCATAACAGTTCAACTATCTCCAAACTACTGTATATTTGGATTATAAAGTAATACAATAGAGGTTATTCGAGTTTACTTACTATGTTCAACTATTCTCTACGAAATGAACCAAATTACCAACCAAATATGTCAAACATGAGTATCGTGCATAAAAATGTCAAGTTTCACATAAACAAGCTTTGACTAATTCAATAGTGCACTATTTTTGTTATTCACAGTTCATTCATATTCCAATATTCAATATCATAGTCGGCAAGGTTATTAAACCTACACAAGCATAGAAAACTATTATTATAATTTAATGCTAGGAAATAAATGAATAAAAACTGTAATTTTTTAAAAGTTACACACAATCACAAAAAAACTGCAATAAAATGATGAATGCCATGGAAATATTCCTACCTCCAAACTTATACAGAACATTGTCCTCAATGTTCAAAATTAAAGGATGAATGCACATAAAGATAAAGAAAATGGGGCTCAGGATACTCCCCTGATCAGTGCGGATGTGACGGCAATGATGGTGGGGAAAATATAGCGGGGATCATGCATAGACTCTTTGTGACCTGTAAAGATGATGAATGACTCAATATTATTAAAAATTATCAAAAACACGAAAAATTTCTAATGTAATGCATAAAACGGAATAAATGAAAGGGAAGAAACATTGGGTTGCCTCCCAACAAGTGCTTGTTTATAGTTTGTAGCTTGACTTTATAGCTGTTGATTCATGGTGGTCAAGTCGAAGAATTTCACCATTGTACTCTTTGCAATTTCCAGCTTTGCATCCTCTTTTAGTTCTTCAAACTTTGAATTTTCCTTTCTCGTTTCTACCAAGAATTCCTCCAAATTTCAATTTTTTCTTCTGGTAATTTGTTGAATGGATAGTTCATCTTCATCAATACAATGACAATCGTCAAGGGATGATGGTTGTTTGGATGGATTATATAATTTAAAAACTTTTTGTTCCTCATCTACCCTAAAGATTAGCCCACCTCTCTCCATAGCAATCAAAGTTCGACCTATTGCTAAGAATGGTCTCCCCAAGATTATTGAAATATCTCTATCTTCTTCTATGTCTAGAAAATGAAATTTGTCGAAAAAATTAATTTGCCAACTTTGATGAGTATATTCTCAACTTTGCCTCTCGGATATGTGATGCTTCTATTGACCACCTGCAATAACATCGTTGTTTATTTTACTTTTCCCAATCCCAATTTCCTGTATATAGATAAAGGTATTAAGTTAATACTTGCACCCGTATCACATAAAGCATTAAAAGTACTAGCTTCTCCAATTGAAATAGGTATGCTGAAACTTTTTGGATCCATGATATTAGGAGGTAGTTTCTTTTGTATTCTTGCAATGCTCTCCTCGTCAGTGCTACAATTTCAAATTCTGGAAGCTTTTTTCTTCTTTGATATCTTGTCCTTCAAAAGTCTTGCATAGCTTGGAATCTATCGTATTGCATCTATGAAAGGGATACTGATGTGGAGTTTCTTTAGCACATCCAAAAACTTCTCAAACTGTTGGTCTAGCTTATGTCTCTTCAACCTTTGTGGGAATGGAATATGAGGCTCGTAAGGATTTATATGTATGGTTGGCTTAACTCATGGTGTATCAGAACTCTCTTTAGTAGATGCTTCTATCGTCTGTTCAATCCATTCCACTCGATCCTCATCTAAAGAAGGTACTGTTTCCTTAGTTGCAACCAGCCTCTTGATATGTATTTCTAGTAATTGCACCCCACTCTTGGTGGATATTTCTTTCACAAATGGGTCCTCAATTATTTCATTTCCAACAATACTTATGGCTATTACCTGCTCTTTGGGATTAGTCACAGTATTGCTTGGCAGGGTACTTGGTACTCTGCTTGTCATAGAAAGTGACATCTGCCCATCTTGAGTCTCCGGGTTTTTAATATCAGCACTCTGATCTCGGAGAGTTGTTTTGATTTTCCTCATGAATTGATTGTTAGCTTCCATGTACTGATTTGTTTTCTCCATGAATTCCTCGAACATTTCTTCCAACTGCAACATCTCCCTCGGCTGCTGAAACTGACCATGTGGCCTATTCTGATTCTGACCACCCCAAGAGAGGTTTGGGTGATTCTTCCGCCTGGGTTATACGTATCTGAAAGTAGATTGTTCTGTTGAACTTGTCCCCATTGTACAAAATCCATTTGTTCCATACCTTGTGCTAAAATTGGGCAATCTACTGTGTTGTGATCTACTCCACACTCCTCACAACTTAGCTTTTTGGCTTGTACAACGTTAGCTATTTGTGATATGCTCTCAACCTTATGAAATAACGAGTCTATTTTCGGGGATAAGGCTAAGTAAGCATCCACCTCTTATCCACCTGTCACTATCCTTTGAACAACCCGATTAGAAGCCCACATTGCTGAAGTAGTTGCCACAGTCTCAAACGATTTCAATACGTCATCAATGGTTTTTGTTGATAATGAACCATTAGACAAAGAATCCACCATGCTTTTGAACGATGGAAGCAATCCCACATAGAAATATTGGACTTGGAGTCCTTTGCTAATACAGTGCTGAGGACACTTCCGTAGCATGTTCTTGACAGAAAATAGAGATGTCATGCTTTAATTTGCAATTTT